ACCACATTTTTACATCTGAATTGAATTAACTTTAAAACTCATGCTCATACTAATAAAATACATCTTTGAAAGGATTTGTATTGCATTTCATTATTATATAAAGAAGATTGGAAACATTGTCTGAGTTTTATTGTTATTATTTTATAGATGTTACATAGGCTTGGAGCTAGAAGGTTGGTGGTGGTAGGAGTTCCTCCCATGGGATGCATGCCCCTAATGAAATACCTAAAAGGCCAAGATACTTGCGTCGATCAGTTAAACCAGATCGCTTTCTCCTTCAACTCCAAAATCGTCAAGAATCTCAAACTTCTACAGTCTGAAATCGGCATGAAAACTATCTATGTCGATGCTTATTCTACGATCCAAGAAGCCATTAAAACCCCAAGAAAGTTTGGTGAGAACATGGATCTAATTGCTTAAAACATAACTTTGAGATAAAAGTAAACAATAGAATCTCAATTTTTGTTCTTTGTTTGTTTTAGGTTTCATTGAGGCATCGAAAGGATGTTGTGGAACGGGTACTTACGAATATGGAGAGACATGCAAAGATATGGAAGTATGCAAAGATCCTACCAAATACGTTTTTTGGGATGCAGTCCATCCAACACAAAGAATGTATCAAATCATTGTTAAGAAGGCCATTGCATCTATTAGTGAAGATTTTCTTGCTTAGAACATGTTAAATGTTTGTATTACTTTCATGATGTCAGAAAAATTTCAAGGATATAACTGAAAATTATTCAAAGATGTTATATTTAATTGTTCAAACCATCAAATGAAATTAATTTATGAGTAGAATATATATATATAGGGGATTTTTTTTTTCAACAAAAATAAGTAGGATTGGCTAACCAATCAAGGGCAGAAGTATATGTACAAACATATATATATCACCAAGAAAGTTGCTCAAATGAGGGATTAAAACAAGAAAAAAAAAAAGAATCTATCTCGTCATACAACACAATCTTCGAAATCAATGAAAAAACTAAGCCAATCCGGTTTT